GGGTTTTCTGTTGCCAGTAATCGCTGTAAATGCTGGCCGATCCCTTCAACCTTGCATTTGATTGTTTTTTGTTTTTTTAGCACTGCTGAACTCGTCTGGAGTTGACGTAAACACTTTACCCGACAAAGTCGTCACTTCTGATCGTTTACAATGACAGGAACAATAAATGACAGCCACTGAATGTGCAGAGTCACAAGAACCCAGCAGACTTTAATGATTTTATATCAGTGTAAACAACAATAAAAGTCACGTTAAAGACATTTATTTTCCCCCAGCGTCATATGACCGGCGGTCCAAAATGGAGGAATATCAGGTAGTCGCCTCGGTACCATTTGCACGATGAAGAGATGTTTGAGGAAAACAACAACTTGAAATCAAAGACAGATAATAAGTTTGGATCTGACCTGTTGGGGCGCGTTGAAAGAGGTTTAGAGGACAGGATCTGGTTAAGAAAATAAAAACCTGCCCACAAAGCTTGTTAAAGTCAAACCTCTCCCTTTCTTTGGTGCATTAACTCTTTACGGTAGATAAAATACAGCGTTTGGTTTAATTGCTTCTTATAGTGTTATTAACTTCGCTGCAGTTACAGTAAATTATTTCAGACATATCAAATCACCGATCTTAACAGCTTTTGGTTTATTTTGTTTTGTGTTGGGAAATTTCCATCGTCTGCCTTCATTCATGGTCATAACTCAGTAACAAAGTACAGATCTGAGATAGAGTTTTGATCATAGATTATTCTTCTGCGCAGCCTCAGAGGATTGTTTGCGGGGGTTGGTGAAGTTGTTGGTGCTCAAAGCTGCTCCGTAAATTTGAGGAAACTGCAGCAGTCGGGTTTTATCTGTCTACATTCTGTTCCGTCTCAGTTTTTATTTGAAACAGCTTAGTTAAATCTGTTAAACTTAAAAAAAGACACCGTAATCTAATCTGAAATCTCTGGGAGATTTTTTTATTCTGTTGCTTTCTGCATTTTTGGGATTTATTCTTCTCATGAAGACATTTTCCCGTATGACGTCCTCATTTTTTGGTAACTTTATTGAAAATAAGATCATATTATTCATTTCAACTATTTAACACTAAAGAACTATTTTAATTTAAACAAGAAAATTAACAATATTTATTATAGCATCAGGCATTTACGGAAGAGGATTAGGGCCACTGGAAAAAAAAAAAAAAGTTAACTGATTTTTAAATTTTATTTCAGTTTATTATAGGGAAAAAAGTCAGAATTTTGACTTTTTCTCAGAATTCTGACTTTTTTCTCAGAATTCTGACTGAATCCTGACAATAAAAAAAGTCCCTAATCCTCTTCCGTAGGCATTATGTAACATTAAAGTTTTAATTCTATAAATGTATTACCATAAATGATGTAATTATGGTACTAAAATATTTCTATCCTTGACTATCTAAATGATGCTAATACACATCGTTAAAAAAAAATGTTTTATGACTTTTCTGAGACAATTTCGATGTTTCTTACATTTTCTCCTCTGACGTCATCGTAGGAAATGCTCAGAGCAGACCGGAAAAATGTGATTAAACCATTTTTATCTGCCTGTTAGTTAATTCTTTAGATTACGCACTTTATTTCATAATATTAACACAAAAGGAAAACATTAAAACTCAAAAAGATTTATGTTTAAATCCAAAGCTGAAAAAGTTAGCTCCCAGAAGTAGCGTAGCATCCCTCCCTTGGTGCAGAACAAACACTTAAAACGTTATATTTTAGTACGCTTACTATTTTTGGGGAAAGAAAAACCTCATTTAGGTCTTTTTTACTAAATAAAATCGAGCGATCCGGATGTATATCTGGATGCACAAATGAGCCGATTGTTCGGATCGCGCTTCCGGCACGGATCGGGTTGTGACGATGCATCACTGAAGCCTAACGAGCTAATATTAGCCTGTTAATTAGTTCGCTATCTGCTCTGGCAGCCCAAACTCTGCTGCCATGTAGATATTCTACAAATAGATTGTCAGTTGTCATTGTTTACTTTGTAATTTTGTGTCTAAGATGTTGCTTTTTAACTATTAATCAGATTAATCGATTATTGGAATAATCATCCACTAATTTAGTCATTGATGAATAACTGGAGAATAGAGACTGTAAAACATGCCTTTAGGTGACAGAAGAACCACTTAGAGCAGGAATTATATCAAAACAGTAAAAAAAAAAACACGTAAACATTTTGCATTCAAGATGAAAAACTTTATCAGTCAATCTGCTCTAACAGAACGCCTCAAGTGGAAAAGTTTTAGATTCACCTGGTTTCATTTTGTAGAATATCTTCTTTAAGGAACCTTTGGCTATCCCATGATTGGCTAAAACCTAACTTTGGAGGGCGGGCACTCTGAGTCCGTTCGCCCAATCAGCTCTGACGGTTCTGTGAATGTCCCTCCTTTCCTCCCAAACAGGCTTTTCAGGTTAGAACACGGTGGCAGATTAAAGCACGGCAATTATGATTTATTAAAATTACTGACGTGCCGGAAAACAAAAGTGTTTCCACTATATCAAAGAACACTTTAAATCTTATTTAGACATTCCCTGTGACCAGTAGCCAAATCAATTTATTTAATCGTCTTATAAGCCAGAGGAAAGTGTCACCGGCTTTGGATGGAATTATCCCATTAAATGGTTATTACTGGTTATTAGTCGCATAGAATGACTTCAGATTGGGCCTCCTACCGCTCAGTAATTCTATTTTTCATTCCGACTCAGCTTGTTAATATCGGGGGGTTCCTTGAGGACCCAAATGAGACGAGGTATTGTAAGGCAAACATCCAAAAACACAAAAATAATAAGAACCAAAAAACCAGCAAACATCAGAGAAAACTCACATTCAGAGCCAGAGACGAGGAAGCAGCACTGAGTGACTGCAGAGGTGGAGTATATAAGGGGAACTAAACAAGAAATTGTTAAAATTGTTTTTTTTATTACATAGTGAACGTGTCAACATTGGGGTTGAGGTTGCTTCTAGACCCAAATGCAGAGATTAGTTCTTCTTGATTAAATAAAAAAAAAACTGAGGCAGACATTCAAAAATGCAAAATACAAAGAATAAAAAAAAAAACAGAAAACATCAGGGGAAACTCACGTGGGGAGCCACAAACGAGGAAGCAACTAACAACAACAAGGAAGCAGCACTGAGTGACCCCAGAGGTGGAGTATATAAGGGGAACTAAACAAAGGATGGACTAATGAGCTGAATATGGAGCAGGTGGGAATAGAACTAACTAGAAGGAAGCCAAGGGGAAAGGAAACAAGCAGTAGGGGGCGACAGAGAGTAACTAAAGACAGCTGGAATATAATGGAAAATAAACCAAAGATCAACAAAACAGAAAAACTAAAAACTCTGATTCCCAGAACCATTACGGAGTTAAATTTGTTTGACTGAAACATGTGGAAATCACTGGAAGTACAGTTTTATAACACTTTTTTTAAAAAGAAGGTCGGCTGTAAATAAAGTAGTTAAAAAGTATAAAGAAGGTAAATAGAAAGTGAAACTTAAGGTTTTAGACGTGGCAGAAGCAGCTGTTATCAACCATAAGCTGCAGTCTGGAGCGGGACTGATAACCGCTAATAACGGCCATTTAACGGTTGATCACATCCGAAGCGCGTGGAAGTATAGAGCTCGCCTTTAGCCAGCTGTTCAGCAGTGCACAGCAACCGGTTAGTATAGAAAAACAAAAGCTTTTCTCTGTGCTTCATGCAATCTCTGTCTGCTTTCTGTAGCATTTAGCCTTTTTTCAGGGTTTTTGACATTTTCAGCCATTTGAATCAGAATCTCAGTAAAATCTTG